CAGCAAGCTATGTCTGGGAGGAGAGCGTCTGCCCAGCGCCGTTGATAGCTTTCTTGATGAGCCGACAGCGCCGCAAAGTGAAGAAGAAGGTTCAGAGAACCCAGAAAACAGGCGCTGGCCGCGAGCTACAGTTTGAGAAGGAGAACCCGCAGATGCAGGCCAAGTTGATCGAAACCAGGACAAAGGAGTGGAGCAACTAGACAAAACACACTGATGGCAAACGGCTTTCTGATGAACATGCAGTTGCAGCAGCTCCGGAAAGACATTCCTGGACTGCGTGTGATTCCCACACGCTTGGTGGACGTGAACAAGGCAGAACCCAATGAGCCAGATCAGTTGAAGAGCGGCCTTGTTGTCAGAAGCGACTTGGAAGACGCCTCAAAAATGCGGACAGACAGTCTGACTTGTTCCATGGCCATGATGTCGCTGAGCCTGATCCTTTCAGCATGGTGGGACAGCGACATGTGGACTGGAGACATTTCAGCTGCATTTCTACAAGGTTCCAAGCTAGATCGCGCCTTGTCTATGCCTCGAGGTGGAATCCCCGGCGAACCTGAAGGCAGGTACTACATGGTCAGCTCCACGGTATATGGGACAAAGGATGCCCCAAGAGGTTGGCGCAAGAACTTGCATGCATCTTTGCTGGAGCAAGGTTTCTCGCCAGTGCCACATGAAGCAGCAGCCTACAGTTTGAGGACTCCAGAAGGAGAGCTTGCAGGCTTGGTCGTTGTCCACGTTGACGATTTGCGGTGGACAGGCGGTGAGTTGATTGAAAGCAAGATGCAGGCGATTTGCCAAAAGTACAAGTTCGGCAAGTTGCACTCAAATCAATCGCCAGCCTTTTGTCTTGCACTGTGTGCAAGCCGGGTTGCCCAACATGTTCGTACAGTGAGTGGCAGTCAGTGTACGGGTTGAGGTTGAAGGAGTTCTGAGCTTCCACCTGTCCCTTCTGTAGGTTGCGATCATGATCGTTCCACAACCCGTGCAGTACGAACCTCATGTGTTCACACTCTTCCATGCCGTAGATCATGCTCATGGTCTCCGCCTGGAGTGTTGACCTGCACACCCTTTTGATGCGTGTGCTGTGCCAACCCAGCAAAAACAAATGCCCTTGATGGGTGCGCCGAAAAGAACGGTGAGCCAAACACACCAAGCGGCCACTCTGACTTCTCAAACCAAGTCGCTTGCCAGAACCACTTGTGTCAGCATCGTTGGCAAATGATGCATCTTGGGATAGCTGATGCTCTTGTTCTTTGAAGCTCTGGCCACTTTCACAATGTTCTTCGCGAAGATGGCGTCAGAGTATATGGCCTGGGAGACATTAGACTGCAAGTAGCTGACTGCGTATGACAAGTCGGGTCGACAGACCCTCAACTGCTCCTTGATCTGGTCAGGAGCTCTTGCATTCTTCATCTTCTTCTGTTCTGGTGAGAGGTAGATGGGCTTCGCGCCATCAACCAAGCTTGGACAGCTGACGCGCACTCCAGCTGAGTCCTTCTTCACCTCACGGCCACAATACCTGAACTCATTCTTTGAGGGAGAGTTGATCGGAGATCCACTTCTGACAGATCACTTGCCTTAGCGCGAATGTCGCGCCAGCCGATAGCTTGACCAAGGCCATGCGGCCTGGAGGCCTTGAAAAGGTCATGGAAGGAGCTGTGTACGATCTCAGTCCAAAAGAAAAGTATTATTGTGAAACGGAGGATGGACATGCGCCGAACATTCGATCGTACGCAGATCCAAGCTCGTGATGCCACACACGTGGCTCAAGCAATGGAGCGCATCGCACTGCAGAAAAGCCGTGTCACGACGCTTTTTGCTTTCGTTGTTGGGTTGCCAATTCCTCAATACTGTATATATGTTTATACATACATGTTTTGTGACGCCAACCTTGCCAGTGTTTCCTTGAACGCACATGTCACCACCAGGTGGATGCTAAAAGCCTTGATAGCTGCCTCTACTCTGCGCCCGAGGAGAGCCGACACGCTTAAGTCACGGGATACTGGGCACACTGTGACCAGGGGACTCCAGGCGGTTCTGCAGAGTGTATCAAAATCCTTCAGCTTGCTGTGCTCTCTTCCAGATGTTGAAGAAGCTAGATGGGGAGACTCCAGCAGTTGATGAGGACTGTGCTTGCCTTGAAACCGCTGTTGGCGCCGGCAGTGACACTTCTTTTGCATTGATTTACTTGCTGTCCCGCTAGGAACTGTGCATCAAAGCGGACGTTTTTGCACTGGGGCTGGTTCTATGGTTTATGTGCACAGGAGCTTCGCTGATGTGTGTGTGTGTGGAACCCTTGGAGTCACAGGGGACCTTTTTGGTCTTTTAATTGGCAGGGGGCCACCGAATTGCCAGAGGAGCGGTGGCCAATGAAGACCTGCTCTGGGACCCGTGTAAACGTACCTGCCAAACTGGTTACTTCTTGTTCTCGCTGTGGTTTGCTTTCATGGTGGTTCATGTGGTTCTGTTACTAACCGTAACTCGCATTTTGTGTTTTGAGTCTTGCTGGCCACCCTACTAGTGATGGCCTCCAACCTTGAGGTCTTGCTGCCGTGAGTCTTGCTTTGCATGAAGCCAACCATGGTAATGACCTCCAACCTGTTGCGATGACCTCCTACCTAGATGCGCTGGCCTCCAACCTTGAGGTAATGGCCTCCAACCTACTCTGACTTACTTTAGCCTGGTGCCTTAGGCTTTCACTTTGGCTGGCGCGTGGCAAGCCGCAAGTCCTTTCCGTATGCAATATCTCTGGCGGGCCTCGTGCTAGGCCTCGGCCCTACTATAGGTCTTGCTGCTGTGAGTCTTGTTTTGCATGCAACCATGGCCTGCAACCGGTTGCGATGACCTACCTAGCTGGCCTCCAACCTTGAGGTACTGGCCTCCAACCTACTCTGACTCTAGCCTGGTACTTTAGGTTTCGCCGGTTTCGCTTAGGCTGGTGTGTGGCAATCCGCAAGTCCTTTCCGTACGCAATATCTCGAGTGTGTGACCCGCTAGAAACACGCGGGTTTTGTTTGGAATGCTGATGCAGCAGAGCGGGGAGTCCAGGCAGTTGGAGTTGTCCCTGGACCAACAAAAACGGACCCACAACCGGTGAAACAATAAGGACGCTTTCTTGTGTACCAGCATTTTGTAGATGTTGCCGAGATGGCAAGCGGCTGAGCCAAGAACCTGCACATAAACGTGTGCTTGCAAAGATGTTAGCTGTTCATGTTGAATTTTACCGACAACGTCGTTGCTTCAACCACGTCATATTCTTAGGAGGTCCCTGGCTACCCGACCACTGGAAAACTCCACTTCACTCCTACCATACTGAGTGTGCGATCCATTGGAGCGTGTCAGTACTAGTGAGATATACAGCAAAGCCATGCCGCGGAAAGGAGCCCGACCCTTGCAGCATTTGGACAATGACGGCATGCACAAGCCGTCGGATCACGTGGTCAAGGCTAGGCCTCTTCTTCATTTCAAGGCGAAGATATACCTGCCCTGGCCGTTTTACACACCCCAGGAGCAAAACACAAGACGGACACTGAACTGCTTCCATTGAAGGCTTTCAAGGATGGGCGAAGACCTCGACCAAGATTGGCAGATGCTTAGAAGGGTTTTGATGAGACTGATGTTCTTATGCCCAGTCTCCAACATGTGACTTTTTCCAAGGATGTTTCTCAGGGACTCCAAATGCAGGAGCTCATCCGAAAGGCCAGGCTCATTCTTGTGTAATCCCAGAACTGACTTTTAGACACACATTGGGAGAGCGAGGCATTTTGTTTTCAGTGCCAGCCACTTGTTATGGTCATTTACGAGCCAGGCTACAGGTGACTTGTCAGTTGGACATTATAAGCGAGCAATGGTACATCCCTCAACCCTTTTTCCCACTATGCTTGCCTTAGATATTGAACCAAAATATGCGTGACTGCTCCTGACAGGAAGGGATTGAATAAGGTATCGAATGAGCCGCACAAACGTGTTGATTATCCCTCTCAAGGCCTGGAGCGATGAGCCTGCAGAGCGCCCGAGCCCAGCCGAAATGGTGGAGGAATTGAAGAAGATTCAGGCCGTGTCGGTGATGTAGTGGAATTGGCTTGAAAGAGGAAGGAACCGCAACAAACATTTCCTTTCCCATCGGATTCAATCTCATCTCTGAGAATTGATAGAGAATGTCGATGGAGAGACCTACGGACCTACTTTGCTGAAATTAGTCATGGCTGCATGCACGGGCCACAATTATCTCCTTCTTGAGCGAACCTGGAATGGAAGCTACTTCTTCAACACTACAACTGACCCAAATTCCAATCCCAAATATCTGGGAAGTGCGGATGGGTGCAGGCATGGTACCACAAAAGCTTGCAATCAGAAAGCGAGAGACTAAATAGAATCGAAGAACCAAGGTGAAGACTAATTCCTTTAAGAGGACCATACTTTGATTGCACACCTATTGATCCTTTTGCATGCATTAGATCAGCGGTTTAAGATTATCCGAGTCGATGAGTCGATCTCCTACTTTGGATGTAGCACCCAGGCATCGCCTGGGAGCCAATGCTGCTGTACGATGTGAAGCCTTCGCCGTTTGGAATCCTTTTGCTTGGCCGCATAGGTATAGACCATTATGGACGGAATAATCATTTCGAAGTAGGCAGGGAGGCCAGGCCAACAACATGTACAAAGCTGAGATTCCCTTGCCTTTCTGAGAGGTGTTGGGAGACGTGCAGATGCGCTTGACTCATATCGCAATCCTGGCCCTTGATGTGTACATACTAACCCTCCTTGCATGAAATTCTGAATTCTGTGCTGTGATGGACATCCTCCATCCCAAAAGCATGGGGCTTGTGTTGCAAAAGGGGGCTTGTCTGCATCTGCCATGTCTCACGTTAACACCAGAGATTGAGACTGAAGAGAGGATGCATTAGGATACTGCACTTGCTTTTGATGCCTCTGATTCTCATCTACTCCACTGTTCAAGTCAAACCGTTTGATTTGCTTCCAAAGATGCGCGTGGGCAGGCTAATGGTTGGCTTTGTGGCCATGATCTTTTTTGGACACTTGGTGGTTGCAGCTTGCAACTGGTCCGTACCAAGGGCCGCTTGGCAGTCACAGAGCTTCTATGTTCTGCGGAGTTGAGAATTCCTACCATGCCGCTAGGATAACAATTTGGGTTCCCTTCAAATTTGCAACACAACAAAGGGCGGGGAGTGCACACCCACACAAACACACACACACACACATCCGCAAGATTTGGTAGGACGAACGTCTCACTGATTTATATATTTACAGTATATATTTGTGAAGCTTGCATAGCTAGAGCTGCAGGTACTGCGTTTTGGAATCTTGACACTGCAGCTCACTTTGCTGCTTCCAAATGTCGTCTCTGTCGCTGCTGACGCCGTGTTATCTGCCAGCTGGAGCCTCTTGCCAGCCCGTATGCATTCACCGCAACTTGGCTTTAGCCGCAGCTGTTTTTGGACCAAGCATGGTGATTTCAAGTGTCTCCAAGGGGGTGGAAGGCTTTGGAGGTCCCCATGTCTTTGTGATGGATGAGAATCCATCGGTATAGTACTCTGGGAGACACCTCAAACGTCCAACAAACGTTGCATGTTTCAGCAGCGACAAGGCCCCGGACACTGAGCCCCGATCCCAGTGTGCTCAGCTTGCCGCTCCTGGAAGAGGAACCCGTCTCGCCCAGCTCAGCTCTGAGAGTTTTTCTGTCTTGTGGAACTCAGAATAGGCACGGCAACTTGAGACTAAATCTTACTTGTTTCTAGTAGCTTCTTGTTACTACTAGTAAGGCACCAGTTCCTAGTAGCGTGGCACTTGTTTCTAGTTCCATTCTGTCGAGAGGGCATGGACGACTTCAGACTTAGCATTAGCAGTAAAGCAATCCCAGTGTTGTTTTGGATCCATCTCTCGCACAGCTATCGCCCGACTTAATTCATCGTGAAGATACACAGGCAGACGCAGAGTCAACATATTTTCAAGCACTTTGTCAGCTTGATACACCGTGTACACCGTTACACCGTTTACACTGTTTAAACCGTTTACACCGATACACCGAGTTTACACCGGTTACACCGACAACAGCGTCACCAGCGTAAACAGCGTAATCAGCGTATAGCCAGCATAACCAGCGTAAGCAGCATAACCGGCGTAACCAGCGCGACCGCAGCCACCCTGGTAAGTGCCAGCGTACCAGCGCACAATCGTTCGCGGACACGCTTTGCCATGTCGCTCGATGTTTTGTGTCGGCTGACTGTTCCTTCTGCGATGACAACAGTGATGCGTTTCATGCGCAACGAGGTCCTGCAAAGGAAGGTCATTGTGCCATGTCTGTGGCTTGGACGAATGCGAGAGTGACTTTTTGCATCTCTCTTCAGCATGTGAGATTGTTAGATTTCTTGCGGGTTTCGGTATAGTGTAGGCTGCTTGCGGCATTGGTTCTGAACTTGACTTGTTGTAAATGTATAGTATATATTTTATCGAACTTGCTCACAGAGCTGATGAAGGAGCACGCAACATGAGTAGATGGGTTGCTTTGACCTGAAAACATGTCTTGGACAGGGCTTCTCGACATCTATAGACGTAGCTCCAGCTCCGATGGGTGATTTCCCAAAAATTTATGAACTCCAAGCAAAGAAACTTCTCTCAAAGCATTTTGCGAGGTGAGCTACGACTGCTGCCCCTTTTGTGGGGATGAGGAGTTGCAATCAAGGAAAACAATTTGGCTTTTGGGAATTTGGAGGGCTCTACTGTTGGGCTTGCTGCATGCATTCCAGTGCCCTGGATGAAAAAGATTCGCTGGCATATTCCATTTCCAGAAGCAAGATGAGAGAGCGCTCACCCTGGGCTGTTTCGGTGTGATTGAACTTGGTCTCAGAATGGCAAACTCCCAACTTCGAGCTTCAAAGCTGTTGGTTTCTTTCTTTCAAGATGATGGGAGTTTTGGTGAGTTTTGCAAGCGATATGATTGGATCTGCAATTTTGGCAGCTTTGGGTTGTCCTGAAAGTCGGGTACTAATCCCGAAGGATTTGGCTGCTGACTTTCAGAGTACTAGAGCTGTATGAGATCAGATCTCAGGTCTGTCACAAATGACTTCCTGGTCGGCTTGGGCAAGACCCATATGGAAGCACCTTGGAAACGTACATCAAAGGTTTGAAACATGTCGTTTCAAGATTTTGATGTAGTAGCAAGTGCATCGCTCCTAGTAAAACGTGCATCGCTACTCGTAGCTAGAAGCCACTAGTACTAGTAGCGCCCTTTGCCCCTTTTGCCCACCTGTGATTTGTGGTAGCGAATCTGCGAAGCCTGAAAGGCGGGATCTGTGGTAGCCATGAACCAACTGCTTGCTATGTGCGGGGCCAAGCGGAGCACATGCCATTGAAAGAGTTACTTTTGGCCACTTTGGCCTTGCGAATATCAACAAAAACTTATACTGTAAATGAAAGCATTGGGATTTTGTCTTTCCTGAGAACATGTGCTAGAAGCAACGTATATAGATTGCCTTAGATGTTGACTCAGAATTTGCAACATGCCTATATCCGTGCTGGCGTTGTAGGGGACTCATGCCGCTGGTTGCTTTTGGCGGCTACTTTGTGGGTCTCCGTTGCACTTTGGTGGCCAAGTTCTGAGTTTCCAAGCACGGACTGAGGCAGTGCAAGCAGTCAATACTTCTGATTTCTGACTCTCACCTTTGAAATCTTTTGAACAGTGTCCTTGGAACCAACAGATTCAGAGTTCGCCGAGTTCGCTGATTAAACGCACATCGGCATTGTTGTTCATGCCGACGGCTCCTTTGGACAAACACTACTGCATAAGGTCATCTCCTTGCTGCCCTTTTTGGGTGCATTGTTGTTGGCTTTTTTGCCAACAGTGCCCTTAGTTTTGGAAGCTGGATGCTTGATGCACTTGAGCTTAAACACGTTGGGACTTGCATACCAAGGATATCAGATTATTATGTAATCAAGGCTTTTGTCTCACCAAGTCATCCTCAGTGGCCCACCGAAGCATACTTTCTTTTTTAATGTCGCGAGGACTGATAGCAATTGCTATAGCTTCCACTGTGATGCCTGTACTGCCACTGGTCCTCGTGCCTGCCAACAGCCGCCTCTTGGACAAGAATTCTGTGGCCAGGACAGGTGCTGGCCACAGGTGCTTTAGGTGCCACCCTTGAGGTGTTCTGTTTTGCCTAAGCTCCTTTGCCTTTAGAAAAGCAATTTGGACATGGCCCCGATGTAAGGAGGTATTGCAACAGGAAGCCGTTTTTGAAAGCCAAATGGGGGTGAAGAGTCAGGAGACTGTGAGAATTGCACACGGCAGCCACCTTGGCCGGGCATTTTGGGTTTAGATCTTTAGCAGCGTGCTGCTTGTCAACCTGGTTGCACTGTTTCAGTGGGGGTAGCCTTGCGGATTCATTGGGAACACATTGCTCCAGCAGGTCATGTTGCAGGCTAACTAGGTATGTAAGGATCGCAAAGCGTAAAAGAGTCTCAGAGGTACGGTATGAATGGCTATATTGTCATTGTCGTTCGTAAGGTACGCGGTGTGAGTTGTTTGGCCCGAAACTCGGGTATCAAGGGAACCTCCATGGATCATCACGAAACCTCCATGGATCAATTTGAATCGTCCGCTACGCCCACGTGATGAAACTCCGCAGGATTTGCGTCTCCCAAACGTAGGGGAAACATTGTTTTGTTTCCTTCTAGTTACTAGAAAGCTCTATTGTTGCTAGTAGCGATGGCCTCCACCTAGTAGCTTCTAGTTACGTTGGGGGTTGCTTTGGTGCTGAGCAAATGAACATAAATGAACGGGTGCGACACGGCAACACCCGTCGAGTGGTTCAGCGATTCCGAGCACTCGTTTGGACCCCATCTGAGTGGTGTTTCACCTGACCCACCACCGGAAGATGGGGATAAGAACCACCCCTGAATCGCCTAATGAGAAGATGCACTGAATCGATTGGACTCGTATTGGACTCGATATTTGGAGTTGCTCACATCTCGGTTTGAAACTGCGGAATCTAGGTGGATTCTGGTGAGGTTGTGGTGGTTGTTCTCAGTGTTGTTTTGTTCCTTCCTTTTCTGTGACAGCCATCACAATTCGACATCCGTTCTAGGATTCTGGAACCAAAGAGCAATGAACGTCGAGCCCTGGTGGGACAACACAAGACTACCACATATAACCTCATTCATTTTTCAAAATCATAACTACTAGCCATCTGGTACCTCATTCATTCTTCAAACATCATAACTACTAACCATCTATTACCTCATCCCTTTTATTGAAATCATAACAGTCAATACATCATCACCTCATCCATTCCATACCCCAAAAAAGCAACCAAACAACGAACAACAAAACAAACCAAGCAATGAACAAAATAAAAGAAACAAAACAATAGACAACAATATAGCATAACCCCTCACCTTTAACAATCCTATCTTACAAGTCCATAATTCTAATAGATATTTTTCGAAATATGTTAGTAGTAAATGTCTTCAATAACTGTCAACTTAAAATGAAAGGCTTGTATTCCTATTATACTATCGTTATCTTGGTCTCCTTCAATAGCGGTTTTTATTTCTTCAACTGCTTTGTGTAATACTGCATCTATATTATCTTCATCTACATATTCATCAAAGTCATTCATAAAGTAAATCTCTCTATAGCTACATTCATTGTTTCCATATTCATTTTTTTTAACTCTATAATTTAAATCATCTTCTACTTCTTCATACATCACAGATAGTAATTATTCTTGTTCTTCTGTTATTGCCTTCTATACTTTTCAAACTAAATGACACTCCCCCTCTCATAATACAGTATTCAATTTTGTATATCTTTTTTCTTGATTTCACATGTCTTGTCATTTTAGGACCAAGTCTTGACATCTTATAATGCTTCACTATGTTTTATTTTCACATATTCAGGTTCTCCATGAGTATATGATACAATATTACTCAACACATTTACTGGCAAATCCTTCAATATACTAATATACTTAACTGACTAATCCACTAATATACTTAACTGACTAATCTTTAAGTAAATATTCTAAGATTAATATAAGATCTCACCGAAGGTGATCATGTCTTATTTTCGGAGCTTTGGCTCAGTGGGTGGGAGAGGCGGGATCCGTCTTTTTCGACGGGTGTCGCTTGTAGGGGGGAGTTCCGTGTTGCGAGGGCCGTCTATGCCATGGAAGAGAACGATTACGAGCCCAGCATTCCTGGGAATTCGGACGGTTCTTTCGAGCGCGTGTTTCCGCCGAGCCCCCCCTGTGACAAGCGCTGCAGCTGCATCGGATGGGCCGAACTTCCCTCTTATGACAGGAGATGCTTTTCATGAGGTTGTCAAATCAGCTGCAAGAGATACTGAGCCGAAAGCGTTTGCAGTGAACTGAGGTCCAAGTTCACTCCATGCCAGTTCAGGAGCCCTCCAAGCCAGATGACTCGTGCAAACCCAAAGTGCACCATGGCCCACCTTGTCACGATACTGCTTTCCTTCGGTGTGTCAGGAAGATTGCTGACTTAGACTACTTCACTAAGCAAGAGTCTTTGAAGAAGCTTGCAGTAAACAAATTTGTGAATCTTATTTCAATGAACCCTGTGGCATTTGAACTTGGGAGAGCAATTCAATCCGAATGTAGTTTCCTGGATTTTGACAGCGAATTGAAAGAGAACTTGGAAGTTGTCTTTAGCATGAAGTCGGCTGCAACATTGAACAAACGTGCCAATTCGATTTTTCTGTTTGTGAAGGCAGTCGTCGACAGAGGAAGAGCTCCATTCCCAGTGCAAGAGTCAGAGGTAGCTCACTACTTTTTCCAGTTGAGGCGGACCGGAAACTTCACCTCGAGAGCCACATCGCTAAGAGAAGCGCTGAGGCTTTGTCATTACACTCTAGGCTTGGAAGGAGCGCTGGTCGCATGCGAAAGTGGTAGGGTGAAAGGAGCAGCAGACTCCATGTTGGCTGACAAGCGACCTTGGAACCCTGCAGACCCGTTCACAGTTGTTGAGTTAAAGATTTTTCACGAGTTGATGAGCAATGCAACAGCAACCTTATTTGACAGATTGGCAGCGGGCACTGTCCTCGCAATGACGTAAGGTCGGTGTCGTGCATCCGACCTCAATTCAATCGACGAGGTCATCATTGACTTCACTGATTGTGGAGGATACCTGGAGTTGAGAACGACGAAGCGCAAAGCAGCCAGAAAAGCTTGCTTGAAGACGAAATTGTTGCCAATCGTCATCCCTGCAATCGGAATCACTGGAAGTTTTTGGGTGAAGACTTTCATGGAGATTCGCGAAATGGCTGGACTCACGAGACATGCGCCCAAGACTCCATGGACCCCGGCTCCTATGGTCAACAATGCAGGCGCTGTCGACTGGTCTTCCAGACCTTTAGATTCAAGTGAGATCACAGACTTCATACGCTGTGTGCTCAAGCATGACGGCGCAGGAGCCAAGCAGATCTCATCCCACTCTTGCAAGGCGACCACTCTTTCTTGGCTTGCCAAGTTCGGAGTGACGCGCGAGGAGCGTGACGTCTTGGGCAGGCACGTGTCCAGCATTGAGGGCGCAGGCCCCTGTACTCAAGAGACTTGCTTTCTGCTCCACTCCGATCTCTTGACAGGGTACTGTCAATGATCCACGCTGGAACCTTCAGGCCAGACGAAGGCCGCTCGGGCATGATTGTGCGTGGCCCCAAACCTGCTGGCTATGTGTGTGTCCTCAAGAACTGTCCGCAAAGAGGAAGCGAGTCTTCAGGAGGGCCATGAGGCATACAGCCATAAGATTTCGAGGTTGGTGCATGCTTGTGAGCCTGCTGTGTATCATGGCCTGGGATACTTGTACACTCAGTGTGGTCGAAAGGTCTCAGGGAATTTCGAAAAGCTCAATGAGTTCCCTGAGCAATGTATGACATGCCTGCACTGTTTCCGAAAATAGGGCCATGAACCAGCGACCCTCTCGCTGAGCACCCTCACAGAGACCGCGCCAGCAGCGCATGAATTTGCTTTTCTTTTGATGATGAACCTGTGTCTGTTTTGACTTCAATGATCGCAAAAAAAAGGGCGAGCCTGAAGCTGAAGAGTCATGTCACTTGAACAGATCAGACCTGAAGTCTGAGTTGCACCTGAAGTGCACGCATGCATGTGGTCAAGGGTCAATGAGTGACTTGTGAGGGGTTTGCTTTTACGACAACACTTCCTGAAGAAGTGTGTGGCTCCAGCCATGACTTTGGACAGCTTTTCTTTTTTTTCCGCGCATGAGTTTCTCACGTGTCTCTCAATGTTTACCACTTGAATTTTCAGATGCACTTTGTGTTTAGTTTTTTTGTTGGATTCTTCTTGTTGAGCACAATGTTCTCAACTTTGTACTGTCAGGTGCTACAAGCCTAGGTACAACTTCTCATTCCAGCCACTCCGCTGCAATGTCGCTGCTGATAGATTCGAAAGCACAGTTTCCTAGCAGAGCAGCCGAAGTCGGAATAGGACAAGCTCTGATCGACGCGTTAGTTCGCAGTGAAATCAATATGATGTCCAAGCTTGCATACTGGGTAGGTCAACCAGGGGTGCCTTTAGATGAGGCTAAGTATGATGCAGCAGTCAGGGCAGTGCTTGGCTCAGACCCTTCAATAGGAGATTCAGCAGCGTTGAAACGCCTGATTTTTGAAGCCCAAGCAATCGCCATCCAGAGCTTGAAAAATGCTGTCGAAGCGCCTGGCACAGAGAGTTCGACCCCAAAGAAGATCCCACAGGCAGAGAAGGAGGCGCGGCTTGCAGACCTGAGAACACGAATAACTGGCATCTTGATCGAAGGTGTCAATGAACCAGCAGTGTCTTTTTTTGAGCAAACCCAGCATCAGTACGAGCAGCGGACCATTAAGTATTTGGCACCAGAGAAGTGTCCCTCCAGAGAGTTCGAGATAGTTCAAATGAAGCCCGTAAAGCAATTGATTGTTCATGGAGGAAACGTGGTGGTAGGTGAGGCTTCTTCGATGCCTGACTCGACTGTGAATTCGTCACTGCTTGTTCAACAGGCCTTCATTCGACGAGCCTTGGCGTATGAGTTCTCAGATCTGATTAGCTTCTCAGTATCCCAGAAGT